TTGCCTGATAAATATGCCATAGCAAGTCAGCTCCTGTACTTGTCTGCACCCATGTGTCCATGCACACGTGCATCCGCATTGGTTACAGGAGCGTAAACTATTGCACTGGGATTTTCAGCATGTTTCCTTCCTCCTCGTGTTTCTCTAACAGGCAACTGAAACAGCACCTCACGAAAGTTTGTCATCTTAGCTGCTCTTTACGAGACCGGCGCTCAGTTGGAAAACATCAGCTTGCACTTCAAGAGAGGGGCAAACATACAAAGCCGTGAAGAGAGAGGTGTTGGGCTCGGAGAGACAGCTTCAAGGATCTGGTGAATTCATAACAAAACCCAGAGCTTGACAATGACGTGATACGAACCACAGTTACCTATAATTAGTTCCTTTCATGGTGGGTAACAAGGGTACACTGAAGTTACATTCCATCAGTAACGAGAATGCAATGAGCACAGATGTTTGTTACTGATGCAACAAGTAATATTTTCTCACTGGTTTCAAAAGTCACTTTAAAAAGGAATTTCCAGGAACTTTTAATGGTATTTTGACAAGTTTTCTTCAACTTTTGATGGCATCCTCTTGTTATATATGTCATCAAGCCACTTCCAATGTAGGACAATCTTATGAATTAGTGCCTTCCAAAAGATCCTATAATTAATAGCCCTGTTTAAGTCTTGCAGACTAGAAGTCATAGCTTCCTTTCTTGGGTTAATCTGTCTCATATTTGATCTTTCTCTTTTCCTGCTGCTTTCATCCTTCCCTTATGTCACATGTTTTCCAATGAATCTTCTCTTCTCATACTATGTCCAAAGCGTAGTAGCCTCAGCTTGTTTATTTTTGCTTCTTGAGAGAGTTCAGACTTGATTTTGATCTATTGCCTATGTATTTTTCTTTCCGGGGGCCCATGGTGTTCAACAAGTACTCCTTCGACAAATGTTGAATGAATGAATATTTTTCCTGCCAGCTTTCTTCATTATCCAGCATTCATATCTGTACACAGGAAATTGGAGTATCATAGTATGAATGACCTTGCTTTAAAGCCGCTCATTCCAACTTTAACATACTTTTCCTGGTTCCTTTGTAGCTATTTTTCTGAGCCCCAGTCTTCTCCTGATGCCTTAGCGGCAGCCTCCATTTGAACTGATAACTAGTCCAAGATATAAAAAACCTCTAATGCATGATGATTACTGAAACAGCAACGTCTACGTTGGTTTGGGCACGTTGTGAGAATGGCTGATGGTCGAATTCCAAAGGATCTCCTGAAGGCCTTAGGAATGGACCTCAACAGATGGGAAACCTTGATATCTGAGCGTTCAGCCTGGAGTCAGGCACGGCCTCTCCCAATTTGAAGAGATCCTTGTCCAGCAGGCCGAGGCAAAGAGGCAGTCCCGAAACCAGCAAAACCAGGGAGCTGGACAGGGGACAGATTGTATTTGTCTTCAGTGTGGAACGGATTGTCACTCTCGAATTGGCCTTCTCAGCCACACTAGACGCTGTTCCAAGTCCTCCAAACAGAGCACATTACTATAGTCTTTCAAGACTGAAGGATGCCTAACTATAGTTGTTTCAGTTATTATTTCAAGAACTATCATCTGATTGTGGTAAGCATATTGTACGACACACTGTCTTGCCACCTGTCTCATCATTGTCTTGGCACCACAGCAGAGCACAAGCCGGCACTCAAACCATGTGATATTCCTCCTCCATAGTTCAGTGGGACCACAGCCCAATAACTACAGGAGTAATTGAAAATTTACCATTGTTTTCCAAAGGAAATTAACTTATTTCTTCTTAATTTACAGCTGTGATGTAACTTAGTTATGCCTCAGTTATTCTAAAAAGGGAATTAATCACAAGTAACTAGTCAACTCTAAGCCTCTGAATACCAGTTGTTGGGAAACAGAAGCAAAAGAATCTGCTTGTGGGCCACCCAAAGGCATTTGCTCAGCACAGGAGGATCAGAACGCTGGCCTACCAAGCATTCTTTCGTTTCTTCCAGGAAGGCTGTCTTCTTGTATTTTTATCTTCATAACTCACTCTTATCTGAGTATTTCACAGGTAATTTCCCAAGTAACAGTTACTTTTCTAGAGCCAGGGTTGTGCAATGTCAAATGCCTGCTCAGTCAGAGAAACTCACGGGGGGGGGGGAGAACCATATTAAAAAACATTCCTTGAACATCTCATATATGAAACACACGCACACACACACACACACACAGACACTGATAGGGTTGCTGTAAGTCAGGAGTGACTTGATGGTATGTAACAACACTTTTTTTTTCTAATCCTGCCTGGAATTTGGACCTTTTAAAAGGAATTCCTTTTATTACTGATTGTTTCTTCCCGGCCAGGTTACAATCAGGACCATTTAGCCTTACTAATACCAATAGGTGAGGGAGAACAAAATATAGAGAAATACTCTCTGGTTCCATCTAGTGGTAAATGCTGACACTGCACCTCAGATATATTTATAGAAAAATAATGATAATAATGTGCTGTCAAGCCAATTCTGACTTTTGATTACCCTTTCCAGGGTTTTCCAGGTAGAAAGTTTTCCAAGTGCTTTTCCGTTCCCTTCTTATGTGGGCACCTGGGGTTACACAGCCTGGCTCTACTGGGAGGAGGCACTGTGGGGAATCAAACTCCTAACCTCTCCTAAACTTGGGCTATGCAGCCAGTCATATAAATTATCATAAAATAATTCCCTTGCCCCTTAGGACTGATGACAAAATATGATAAAACTGGGGGGGAAATCTTGTCACAATGTCTATAAAAATGCCCTAAAATGCTCTTTTAAAAGTAATGAGGTACTTTGACGTTATTCTTTCTACCTAAGTAACTTACAGGTAGTATCCACTATAGCAGAAATGTAAATGTAACTAGTAGTCTCATCACTCATCACCCCCAAAGTGACTAGTTATATGTAACTGCTACTTCTTACTAGTAATTTCTAAAGTCTGGTTACATTCATCACACGTTTGCCCTGCTTTTCCTCCAAGGATGTCTGAGGCAGTTATCCCACACTGTCCTGCTAAGAAATCCTGTGAGGCAGGCTAGGCTTAGCGTCTTAACTGCCACCCAGATTGGCAGCTCAAGAGCCAAAAGAATAACAACCCATAATTTATTGAAGTGTTTCACATTAGCTTCCCTGATTTGCTCTCTATTTTACTTTTTACTTTATTTAGACTTATACCCCACCCTTCTAGACAAAGTCTACTCGGGGCGGCTTACATATTTGTTCCCCAAAGTTACAGATAACAGAAGTAACTCCTTTTATATTTCTGAATAATGTGGTGGTATATGGACTGAGATGCACCCTAACATAGAGTAGGGTTTGAAGTCTTATATAAACATCCATGAAAGTAAGTCCCAACAAATACAGTGCGGCTTTCCTCTGAATAAACACTCTTCACTCTCTCACTCTTACATTCATAAATAAATAAATAAATAAAAAGTGACATATCTATTTGAATCAGAACATCTTCAAAACATGACAACAACATAAAGATATAGTTTCCATTGTCATCTTTTTTTCACTTCCCCTTGTCTGCCGTTCTTATGGAACGCAAGCTAAATGTCTCATAATGTTTCATAGCTAAACTATTTGCATTTTCCAGAGAAATAAACCCATGTATATTACCCTGTTTCCCCGAAAATAAGGCCTAACCTGAAAATAAGCCCTAGTATGATTTTTCAGGATGCTCGTCATATAAGCTGTATCCCAAAAACAAGCCCCAGTTAAGTGAAACCCCGCCCTCCACCATCATGCAGAAGATGACATGACTGTAAAATAAAGCATTCCCTGAAAATAAGCCCTAATGCATTTTTGGAGCAAAAATTAATATAAGACCCTGTCTTATTTTGGGGGAAACACGGTATATATTGCTCTGAATTATTTAAAACAAACCATTCTAGACGATATTCCAGGAAGAAATATTATTGACGGTGATGACAATGATAAAGTTCATACTTAACGTTCACATGCAGATTCCCCTGAAATCCATGGAAAGTGGATTGGACAGAATAAAGACACAATCGTGTTTAGAACAGACCCATGGAAACCAATGGAACGACTCTCAATACACTGTATCTACATCTGGATCTGAAGCCCTTGCATTTCCTTTCACTTATTTTCTCAAGTTGTGTTCCTGCTCAGAGTGGCTTTGTAGCCTAAGCATGGCAGGAGTACCTTACCCCATCATTTCAAGCTGAGCTTCTCCTCCTGCTCAGACTGTTTGTGATTATGATGCTCACACCTAAATAAGCTAGTACACTATGTTGCCAAATTAAGTCCTCTTTTCTTCTGCTGATTTCGATGAGAGAGGCTTATTGTGTGTCAAAGCTTTACAAAAGGTTATCAACAGAAGGGGGAAAATGCAAGGAACAATCCCACATGGAGTAAGGAGCAAAACTTTACTAAGGAGTAAAACCCACCCAAGTAAACAGGCCTTAATTGCACATAAACATGCTAACGACAGTGCTATAGATATGCTTAACATCTTTGGTTTTGAGTGTGCCATGAATGTATCAATACAAATAGTTCGTGTATCTCATGCAATGGTTAAGAAAGTACAAAATTATGCTAACATTTGTTTCTATGTTTACTATAAAACAGCACTAAAAAAGCAATATTTGCAATGATATAAACAGTCCCTTTTGCGTCTTCTCTCCCCAAACGTGTTTATTTATTTTTAAAAAATCTTAATACAAACACTTGTGCGTTCTCCAATAACATTATGCTACATCCCCTGCCTTTAGCATGTACACCAGATTTTTGCACACCAGGAGTGAAAGATGACTATGATACTTTGAAGGAGAAGGAGAAGTAAGGCAGAAGCTATCCCGAAAGAGCTGCAGAAGAAAATGTTCCCGCAGTTTTTAGTGTCAAACTCTAATAGAGTTACACAGAGGCAGGGGGAGATATTTCGACTCCAAAGATTCGAGGCAGAGAAAGGAAAAAGATCGTTGGGGCTACATTCACAAGCCCAGATCAAACTCCGTCTTACCTTCACAAACACAGACACATACCCTGACCCAAAAAGCCAATGAAAACTTCTCCAGATTTGGCCAGGATCATCCAGATGACAGAGACCGGTACTGCTGCGAAGAAGCCAACACACAGGATCCGGAGTAGATTATTTTTAGGCTGATGATGAGAGACTCAGCTGCTGCCTCCTATCGAGTTTCTAGAGTGTATAGATTCTTCTTAACTTTCTCACACGCATGTATTCCAGAAGACAGGAAGCCCAAGAGGGAAGAGCAAGCAAGTAAAGAAGAAAAGACATGCTATGACTTATTGAAATGACATTATTTTTGGTATCCCTTTTTTCTAAACAAAACTGCACTCAAAGGGGACCCTCACAAAGGTATTGTCCGCCTGTGGATTTCAGCTTTATTTTTATTCCTGCAGCCTTTCTTTCTTTCTTCCTTTCTTCCTTTCTTCCTTTCTTTCTTTCTTTCTTCCTTCCTTCCTTCCTTCCTTCCTTCCTTCCTTCCTTTCTTTCTTTCTTTCTTTCTTTCTTTCTTTCTTTCTTTCTTTCTTTCTTTCTTTCTTTGTAAGACAATTTTTCTGAAGCTCTGCAATCTATAGGTATTTCCAAACACCCCTCCAGAAAATCTTCTCTAGAATTCCATTTCAGTCCTCCCTCTCTTTCACAAGATGTCTTTCAAAACATCATAACTGTCAGGTATTTCACTGATGAATCTGGGGACAGAAGTTAAATCTCCTGATGATCTGTCCACATAGCTGTTAATAGTACCTCAGAGTTTGGGCCTGCATCACTTCAAAAGATGTTCGTTGCCATCATCATCATCAACTTAGAATTGCCAGTAGAGTGGAAGGGTGAGGGTGCCATCTTTTTCTTTACCTTAGTGGTCCCCAGCCTTGGGCCTCCAGATATTCTTGGACTACAATTCCCAGAAGCCTTCACCACCATCTCTGCTGGCCAGGATTTCTGGAAGTTGAAGTCTAAGAACATCTGCCTTAGACCACAAAATGTCTTGGGCCACCAATATTCAGGAGCATTAAAAACCTTAACTCATCTCATTCAGGTGTACCATGTAATATTCCCCACCAAAGACTGTGTCCACAGTCACACCGGTTTACAAGTATAATCCTACAAAATCAATGAGAGTTGTAGTCCCATCTGGAAACCCTAAGGAATAATCTTTAACCTTTGAACTGCAGAGCTGGAAGGGACCCTCTGGATCATCCAGTCCAGCCCCTCTGAAAGAATTGAACTCCCAACCTCTGGCTTTGCAGCTGAAGACCTAAGCCACTGCGCTCTCAGCCACGCGCATCTAAATCAGCAATAATAGCAAAGAGTCTGATCTTTAAAATGCACAAAACTATTGCAATAAACAATAATCCCAAATGCATTTTTGAATGTGTGCACAAAATTAGAATCTTTGCTAAATAAATAGCTTACACAACACATAAACACACAGACACACCCACAAAACCATATACCTGTATTTATTTATTGTATTGATATGCCACCCATTGTTCAGAACTGGAACTTAAGCGGGCTTAAAAACAGCGAAAGACAGAAAATTTAAATATAATATGCTAAAATAGGATCTAATGCAAATTAAAATTAAAGCACTTTAAACTATTTGGTTAAAAATGTGTTTGTGTGTTTTGCTGTTAAATTGTTGTTAAATCTTATGGTGATCTTATAAACCTTTCAAGGTAGATGTGGTATTCAGGGAATAGTTTACTGTGCTCACTCCCCCTGAGTTTTCACAGCTGAATATTTCAACAATCTATCTGCTAAACTAAACCCAACATAACACGCCATGCATACATACAAATAGAAAAGGCATGTTGCCTGCACATGTTGAACTACATATTAACCAAATGTGGGCCTGTTTGAATATTAAACTAATGTAGAACTATTTGAATTTGGAGTTTTTTTTTTTTTTTAAAAAAGGAAAGTGCTTCTTTCCTTCCTGTCCTGCAATTGCTAAAGTGATTTTTAGCTTTATGTGCAAAAATGCCCTTACTGCTTCGTAGCCCTTAAAGTCTGCCATCACCACTGCAAGTGATGGACAAGACTACTGATTTATGAATGTACTTTCCAGGGTGATCCTGTGCATGTCACGTACCTCTGAAAGCAAGCCAGTCTTTTTTTTTTCCTTCCCCCAAGTGGGTTTATGAGTATTCCCCAAGCATTGTTTCGAGACCTTCCACAGAGTTTATGCATCAGAGCATGAAAAAAATATATCCTAAAGTAGTCTTTACCAGCGTGGTTTAAGCACGTGGAAAAGCTGATGCACATCAGAAAACCTACCGCCCAGAATAATAATCCCAGGCTGTTTTTAGGGGTAGGCTTCGCGATTTGAGCCATATTACGTAACACGAGCACTCAGCAAGCAACCTTCTTAATACAGCTTTTACCCCTCCTTCTACTACGTCTGTTTGCCTAATGAAAAGGACTTACCGGGATCGATTCTAGCCCAGTGACGAATCAGGCTGGAGGCATAGATGGCTGGCTCTCTGGAGATGCCACATTACAGGCTGGCATTCGGCAGTTTACGAAGCAAGATGCTCTTATGGCTGCTTCTCTCTCTCAGCAGGCAAGCATGAATATTTGTGCCGGCAAAGCAGCCGCATTACACATTAAAGCACAAGCTTTATGGCTCAAGCCTCTGATACCTACTCAGGGTGAGAGGGGAGCGCTCTCCCTCTTGCAAGAAGCAAAATTGCTTCCCACAGAGTTAAGCGAGATTAGGACATATCTGCAGGATGATGACTCTGTGGGTATAAGAACACTGCATCCATTGTGATTTATCTGGTGTACCTCTTTTTGGGGTGTACGCGTAGATTGTGTGCATTTGCTTCTCATCTCCAAGTTGCTCTTCAACACGAATATTCCCCAAAGAGAAACAGTACTTTTTGGGTTAAAGCAAAAACTTATTGTTGCACCGATACCTGAAAAAGCAAAGCAGTTAAGACCACAGTCTCTGCTTCCCATCAATCAGCTAAAATATGGGCATATCCAGCCTTCTTTCTTTCTTCCCTTAGTGACTGGCAACCTGAGTGGGGGTTTTAAGAGCCTCGTGGCACAGTGGTGAAACGGCAGTACAGCAGCCAAAACTGTGCTCATGACCCGGGGTTCAATCCCAGGTAGATGGCTCAAGGTTGGATATTCTTCTGAGGTTGGCAAATTGAGTAGCCAGTTCGCTGGAGAAGGGAGCAATGAGTAGCCTGCATAATTAAATTGCAAACCACCTAGAGAGTACTTTAAGGGCTGTGGGGCAGTATATAAGCAGCACATTTTGGGCTCTGTGTGTGTGTGTGTGTGTGTTTTAATGGAGTTTTGTGCCTTACTGCTTTGAATTCCTTTTTAGCATTATATTTGTTTATCGCTTTTTAGTGTGGTATCCATTTGATCCTTGTTAATATTTGTCTGCTCACTGTTTTTAGCTTTAAATATTGCCTTTTAATGATATAAGATGCCTTTGGGTCCTTCTCTAATGAGAAAGCCAGGGGGTAAAATATTTTAAATAAAGAAATACATTTATTATATCTTATGGAGGCCTGTCATCATCACTTAGCTAGACCAGTGGTTCCCAAAATTGGGTCCCCAGATGTTCTTGGCCTACAACTCCCAGAAATCCTGGCCAGCACAGCTAGTGGTGAAGGCTTTTGGGAGTTTTAGTCCAAGGACATTTGGGGAGTCAGGACCCAAGGTTGAGAACCACTGGCTAGAGCCTCTGTGTTTTATTTCCATCTTTGTTGTTGTTTAGTCGTTAAGTCGTGTCCGACTCTTTGTGACCCCATGGACCAGAGCACACCAGGCCCTCCTGTCTTCCACTGCCTCCCAGAGTTGGGTCAAATATTTCCATCTACTGAGGCATTTTTAAGTCAGTGATGAAGATGGGTACCTCTTATCCCACCTATCATCTTTTGGAGGAAAAGCCATGAATCCCAGGACTCCCCTCTCTCCCCCCAACTTGCCCCCAACTGCATCCTCAGTCCAAACAATGCATAATCACATGGATTTTCATGCACAGTTCTTTAACCCTCTTGACAACAGCTGGATGTTATCTCTGGTCTGGTCTTCACAACATTTGGATGTTGTAACATGGGATGATGATTAATGAGACATTCTCATGCAGTGATGGATGGTCCGTATTTGGGTGTGTATACGTATACACACATTGCACCAACAGTTTATGATGGCTGATTATTGTAGTGGTCCGTGGCTCACAATATTTCATGATATGTGTCTGTGTGAATACTGGATTTTTCTCAGGCTACATTCTTTAGGAAAAATCCCAGGAAACAGCCATGTCAGATTTATGTTTGATTGTTAGTCTCCAGGAGAACAGACCCATTTAATCAATAGATGTTACATAATTGTTGACTTAGGGTGCAATCAGATGAGCTTTTAGCCCTTTTTTCTGGCAACCCCACAAATTAACCACTGGAGTGAACCAGTCTGTCCCCAGAACATTCCTACCTGCAGTTTTCTGGCTCCTTGTCAGGAGCTCTGCTTTTTTTGGTCCAGGTAGGATCACACCTTTTTGGTTTGTTTCCAGCCTGTGTGATAGCTGGAAATGAACCAAAGTGAGACTGGGGGCTACCAAAGCTCCTTCTGCTGTCAGTTTCCCATATTGTAAAGTGACTTAAGAAGACAGGCCTTTCAGGATATTGGCAAATTAAACACTTCATTTGTTCTGTGGAGGAGCAGAGGAAGTTTAACAAAAATTAGACTATAATAGGACATTGGATGGATTGCATCATTTAGAAATTTGGTTTTAATTGAAAACAGCCTCCCAGAAGTAGAAAGACATATGAGAGGCAACGACGGATACATTGGTTTAACCGTAGTACTGCGGTGAAGACTCTCCTCATAACCTGAGTTTGATCCTGGACTCAGATAACCAGATCAAGGTTGACTCAGCCTTCCATCCTTCCAAGGTTGGTAAATTGAGTACCCAGCTCACTGGGGCTGGAGGAGTAACCCTCAGGGCAACAACTTTCCTGCCTGCAAAGCACAGTTTTATGGGTACTGTAGACAGTGCTGAAGTCAGTGGATCAATTCCCCCCCCCCCACAGTATGGTGTGTCAAGGTCCTCATAAATCCTGGCTGAAGTTAAACTCCCACTATCCTTCCAAGAAAGCCAGATGTGCCTGTTTAAAAAAACAAAATCACCAACCATGTTTTAACATTTATCCAAACGGGCATGTCTATTGATCTTTTGCAGGTACTGTCTTAGGAGTTAAGTTGTCAGCTGTTGCCCAAATTGGAGAACAGAAAGAAGAGCCATGTTATGTGGCAAGACTTGAATCATTTATTTTCCTCCCCATCTTTTTTAAATCTGAAGCCTAAATTAAAGGAAGGGAGCGAGTATGAATAGTCGTGTGTAAATTTGTGTTTTTGGACTACAACCATTCTGGAAGCTGCAATAAAATGGAAAATAGGAATCTGCATCTCTCTAATAATTATAGCCCCACAGTAAGAAATGGAAGGAAGCAGAGAGCTATTCGGAATAAACAAATGACGGGATATGGGATAATAGCCAACAAATACATTCACCAACATATTTTAAGACCGTGCTGCCCAGCAAAATAAGGGACAGATTTATCTTGAGCTTGAATAAGAGTCAATTCCAGGAAATTGTGCAGTGAACGCCGCACATTGATACTCCTGTCAACTTCTATAGTAGCCATCCAGGGTGGTCTTATAAGAATAGGGGGTTTTATTCTTGTTGAGTCCAGCGAGCCAATGATGGGCTCTGAAAAACTACCAAATAACTACTCCAGAAAATCGTAATTAGGTAAAAACAGAAATGGTGTATTTATGGTTTCAGAAAATGCATCTGGGGATAGTGCACAAGAACCTTAAACCTGATGAACGTTTGGAGGCATTTCCCTAAGCGAGTAACCCTCCTGAGGTGTTGACTGGTGATCCTGGAAGCTGCAGTCCACAATCTGCACCCCATCAGGAAACTACCAGGGGGAAGGCACCAGATTCAGGAGAAAGTGTCCTAAGAACGTATTTGTACCGGGGTTGGGCGGGAGTGGTTTCCCCTAACCCTACCCCATCCTGGTCTATTTCCTTTACTTCCATCTCCCTTTATTCCCATCAGATTTTTTTCTACAGTGGGAACAACGGGTGCTCTAGTTCAAGAAATCTGGAGCTTGAAAAAGGTTGCAGTGTGGGTATACAGGACTACGCAGGATAAGACACACAAGCCCTCCAGTCTAGCCTCTTCTCTTCAGCAGTTTCTCCAACAGCCTTTGAAGAGTTCACAGTAAAATGTCCCTCAACTTGAGATTCCGTTGGTCAAGCAAGGGAGAGAATAACATGGCTGCTCTCTGCTGGAAGAAATCATCACTGCAAGAGAAGCCATCCTTGTTATTTCTAGAACCAGCGTGAGGGTTGGGTGGTGAATAAAATGAAATAAAAATTCAACAGCATTGCAGTGAGCCCTAAGAAATTAACCATGTGCTGTCTGTCTCCTTCAGGACAAGCAACTCCCAGCCTGATGCTTCACTCCCCATTGACTCCCCCTGCAGCCTTGTATTAAGTCCCTGTCAAGTGATTTCCAACCCATGCTGAAACTGACAGGGTTTTCAGGTGTTGAAGGAGTGGTTTCCCATTGTAACCCCATAGTGAGTTTGCATAGCTTTGCTGGGGTTTGAACCCAGATCTCCTTGTCTGACAATTTATTCAGTACACCACGCTGGCTCTCCCGTTGCTAGAAATGTAGACGCATAAATGTCTTTAATAAACACGTTAAACAAATCCAAAGGGGGGAAATTTTTAAAAGCCAAAAGCCTTGTCCCACCGTAAAGACTAAGGACAATATTTTAATGTGAGTTTTCATAGATCGAGTCCACTTCATATTCAAGCCTGCCTGAAGAGAAAGGATTTCCCCTGCTTGTGAAAGGACAGCAAAGATGGGGCCAGCCTGGTCTCCAGTGGGAAGGAGTTCCAAAGTATAGTCTTGTTTATATTCTCAACAGCCTTCTGGAGCCAGATTGAGCATTCAGATCCGACAAATAAAAGCCGTACTCCTCAGAAGAAAGATAAATGTAAAACGGTGGCCTTACTTTTATGTTTGTTTATGCACTTTGTGTGTGTGTGTGTGTGTGTCTGTCTAGGATGTGTCAACCAAGGATAAAAAAGGGACCTGCTTCTGAATATAACAAGCTCCAGTCCAGGAAAACCAAATAAATGATAGTTGTGATATCTGCACCATCTTTTCCTCCATCTCTTGTCCCCCGCACCCCCGACAAAGAGTTCTGCAGAACTCAGAAGCTTGCACACTTGTGACACATTTTGCTTGGTACTAATAAAGATTCTTTATATCTGCATTATATTAAAATCTTCATTTAGAACCAACAGATACTAAATGAAGAAAGGGCTGCGCTATCCCTTCCTTTCCCTTTCCTTCCTCTCATTTTTTCCTTGCTTCTCCTTTTACACCCCATTTTCCCTCCCCACTACAGTTCCCACAATCCCTGGAGAATTCTTCCACTTCCCTTTCCTAAGACCAAAACAAAAAAAACTACACTACCCATCAACCCCTAACAAGCGCGACGTCGCCCTCCCCGCCCACGAACTACCAATCCCAGGAAGCCTTGCAAGGGAGGTGCCCTCCATTTGGCCCTTAAAAAACTACACCTCCCAGCATGCTTTGCGAGTACGTCAGTTCGGCCGCCGCCGCGTGACGGCGTCAGGCCTAGACGTGGCAGGGCGGGAATTTTTCTCTCAGAGGACAATGGCTGCCGCCGGACCTGCTGCTGGCGCTTCTCCGAGGGCCTCTTGCGGGCTCTCGGGAGACGCCGAGCGGACGCCTCCCCACATGGCGGCGCTGATTCTGGCCCGCGGGGGCAGCAAAGGAATCCCGCTGAAGAACATTAAGCTCCTGGCTGGGGTCCCGCTCATTGGCTGGGTGCTGAGGGCAGCCGTGGATTCTGGCGTCTTCCAGAGGTGTGCGCATGCGCGAGTCTCGGTCTCCCGCCCCCGCCCCTTTTTTCAAAGGGGGAATCGTTCTTTTGTTTGCAGTCTGAACTTCCGGGGCGTATAGGTGTGCCTGTGTTTTAAGGCTCTTGAGTCTTTCTTCTAGGGAAGGGTAAAATACTGCCCTCCAGTACTCGGATTACAACTCCCATGAGTCCCAGTCGGCCTAGCTTATAGGGAGGGGATGTCAGGGAGGTCCAGTCCGTTAACGTCTGGATGGTCATACACGAATCTAAACTAGCTTTTGACTTTGCATGAGTTTTCACCAGGCTGGTCACTGCAGAGGAAATGCCTGCACTTTGCAGGGTAGTTTATGGTTTTTTAGAAAAAGTGCTACAGTTTGGATTAAAATCACATGGTTTAGCTGTGTTAATCTGCAAGCATTATAGGTGAAAGGAAAAAAAGTAAAAAGACAAAAAGAAAACGTAGCACCTTCAAGACTAACTTTTATATTTTTTAATGTGAGCTTTTGTAGACAAGCCCACTTCGTCAGAGATAAGTGCAGGAGGTAATACATGGCACATATTTATTTTTGGTGTTTAGTTGTTAAGTCGCGTCCAACTCTTCGTGACCCCATGGACCAGAGCACGGCAGGCCTTCCTGTCTTCCACTGCCTCCCAGAGTTGGGTCAAATTCATGTTGGTCGCTTCAGTGACCCTGTCCATCCATCTCGTCCTCTGTCGTCCCCTTCTCCTCTTGCCTTCACACTTTCCCAACATTAAGGTCTTTTCCAGGGAGTCTTCTCTTCTCATGAGACGGCCAAAGGATTGGAGCCTCAGCTTCAGGATCTGTCCTTCCAGGGAGCACTCACAGTTTATTTCCTTCAAAATGTTCTCTTTGCAGTCCAGGGGACTCTCAAGAGTCTCCTCCAGCACCACAATTTAAAAGCATCAATTCTTCGGCGGTCAGCCTTCTTTATGGTCCATCTCTCACTTCCGTACATCGCTACTGGAAAACCCATAGCTTCGACTATGCGGATCTTTGTTGGTAAGGTGCTGTCTCTGCTTTTTAAGATGCTGTCTAGGTTTGTCATCACTTTCCTCCCAAGAAGGCATCTATTTGATTTTATGGCTGCTGTCACCATCTGCAGTGATCATGGAGCTCAAGAAAGTAAAATCTGTCATTCCCTCCATATCTTCCCCTTCTATTTGCCAGGAGGTGATGGGACCAGTGGCCATGATCTTAGTTTTTTCAACTCCATTCTTTCTACGGTCTTCTTGCTCACAATAGTAGATATGATAATAGTCTGAATTGAATTCGCCCATTCCTGTCCATTTTGATTCACTGACGCCCAGGATGTCGATGTTTATTCTTGCCATCTCCTGTTTGACCACATCCAGCTTCCCAAGGTTCATAGTTCTTACATTCCAGATTCCTATGCAGTATTTTTCTTTGCAGCATCAGACTTTCCTTTCACTTCCAGGCACATCCGCAGCTGAGCGTCCTTTTGGCTTTGGCCCAACCACTTCATTAGCTCTGGAGCTACTTGTTCTTATGGCTCCAGCTCTTCCTCAGTAGCATGTTGGACGCCTTCCGACCTGGGGTGCTCATCTTCTGGCGTCTTATCTTTTAGCCTTTTGTTGCTGTCCATGGAGTTTTCTTGGCAAAGATACTGGAGTGGCTTGCCAGTTCCTGTTCCTGCCAAATATTTATACATGGCATCAAAGTACAGATATTAAGAATACAGAGATCATGGTTGATTGGTAAGGAAGTCAGTAGGTGTTAAACATTGTGATGATAGTGTCTTTCATCTGTAGGTCCCTAGTCCAAGCTTGTGCTGTAAAAAATGTGAGAACCTCTGTCATAAATTAGCAATGGTAAAATAACAATACCGTGTTTCCCCGAAAATAAGACAGGGTCTCATATAAATTTTTTTGCTCCAGTTGATAGACTGATCTACCAATCACCTTTTGTTTCTCCCTTCCATCCCCTCCGGTTTTTATATGATTGATATGTGCCATCTGTTTTTAAGAGTTATTTATAAACTGCTTTTAATATTTTTAACCTTTTTTCTTGTATTACATTTGTTGTAACCCCTCCCTCAGAGTAGTGCCTTAGGACTAATGGGAGTGAGATAGACCTCAAATTAATTAATTAATTAGTTAATTAATTTGATTTATATCAAATTAATTGTGGCTCCTTAGTGAGTCCTTTGCTGACTAGAACAGTCGTGGCCAGCTTTACTAGATAAGGGAGCCCTCATGACGTTGCTTCATCTCTTGATGATCTCCAGGATTGGCTACTGTAATGTTCTCTGTGTGGGGCTTCCCTTGAGGTTGACCTAGAGATTACAGTTGGTTGACTCCGGAATGCAGCTGCCAGGCAGGTGTGAGAAGATTTGATCAGATCCTGCGCTGATTACTGGTTGCATCCTGGGTCAAATTCAAAGTTTACTGTATTTTTCTGTGTGTAAGATTATACTTTTGTCTAAAAACTTTAGACTAAAAATTGAGACAGAAGTAAGCTGAGGAGAAAAAAAGTGGAGGGGAAAGCAGGGATCAAAGTGATCCTGCAGGGCTTTGCTCCCTGCTTTCCCCTCCACTTGCTAAGCCTTAGCAAAAAGAAAGCAGGGATCAAAGTGCTCCAGGATCGCTTTGATCCCTGCTTTTCCCTCTGCTTGCTAAGTCCCATGGGACTTAGCAAAAGGAGTGGGGAAGGATCAAAGCAATCCTGTGGGTGTATAAGGGGGAAAGGATCAAAAGGATTGTGCAGTCGTGGAATTGCTTTGATCCCTTTCTCCTTCCTTTTGCTAAGCTACGTGGGGCTTAGCACAAAGGGAGAAAGCAGGGATCAAAGCGATCCTGCAATACTTTGATCCTTTTTAAGCTACATTTGCTAAGCCCCACTTAGATTTCTTAATTTTGGGTTAGAAAAGTGGGGGCGTCTTATACATGGAAAAATATGGTACTTACAAAAACCTCCATGGTTTGAGACCATGTTACCTGTTGAAGCATCTCTTCTCAGGGTCATCTTCCTGCACCTCCAGATCCTCCCAGGCTATGGTCCTCCAGCTACACTGAAGGAGGGCAGAGAATCTTCAACATGAGGTCGGGCCTTCTTGGTGGTTACACCGTCTCTCCGGAATCACCTCCCAGTGGAGTTACGCCTGGCTTCCTCCCTCCCCAGTTTCAAGAGGCTGCTGGAAGTACATCTCTTTCGAGAGGCTTTCAAAGGCAGCATCCTTTGAAGTTATTCACCCCTGCATGGCTGCTCTGATTTCTGGCATCGTCAGGTTTTAGTGTTGGTTTGTTTTGCTGTGGTGGTTGGTGGTTCTTATTTTGCAGGATTCCGTTACTGCTGTTTTTCTATGTACACCGCCCAGCATAGATAGTGCTGTGCGCTATTGGGATGGTGTATAGATGACAGGAATGAAATGAAATAAGAACATTACCAACACACTTAAAAACGTTGCGTTGCACAAGCTGTCGTTCAGCAGTAGCTATCCTTGGGTGGCTGGCAAGAAATAGCCCTGATCTCTCTCAATTGTCTGGGCAGTGATGTAAGCCTGTGTTTTTGTTTGGTTTGGTTTTGTCTACCAACAGCATCTGGGTTTCCACGGATCATGATGAAATTGAGAAAGTGGCCAAGCATTTTGGGGCCCAAGTTCACCGCAGAAGCTCAGAAGTATCTAAAGATTCCTCGACCTCTCTTGACGCCATTGTGGAGTTTCTTCAGTATCACGACGGTGTGGTGGCAGACGTTACTCATTCTGGATATGTGAACGTATTTATGGATCTACCTTTCTGTTGCTGAAAAAAAATGCTTTAAGCACTTTGGCAACTAATGCAACAACGATCCTTAAAATACAGGGAAGACTCAGCTTGTTGTAAAATATAAAACAGAATTCCGACTGTGGCACTAGCAACTTTTCCTTTTAGCGGATTAGGATTGCTAGTTTCCTTCCCACTGCCCTGGACTCTGGATTTTGGTGCTGCCAGCAGGATTATAGTGGTTGGGAGATCTGTCATCCTTAAAATCTTACCTTTTCCTTGCTGTGCTCATTTCTCAGGGTGAATGTTAAATCTGAATGTGGACTGAGAAAGTAAGGGAAAAAAGCAGTAGGTGATAAAGGAAAAGGTGAAAGCCTGCTGTCAAATACAGAAAAGTTTTTAAATCATGGTTCTGAAACCATGTTGCAAGCTGAGACGGCAGCCCAGTGCACGCTTCCCTGTATTTCAAAGCTCATTGCATACCGGAGTTTTAATGTTTAAATATACACATATTTGGTCAATCTGTTTCTATTTGATTTCAGGTTGACATTCTGAATCTGAATGCATAGATGGTTACCTTGCCTATGAGAGTTACTAGCCTGGAAAATAAAATAAAATGATGATAATGATAATGATCTGTCATAATCTGCCCAGGGCAGTGGCTTTTCACTGGACAGACAGTATATACATTAAAGAAATAAATGCAGTGAATAATCATGATGATGATAAACATGCTGGAATCTGGAGAGTGGGGTAAGAGTGCTCCACATCTCTTTTACAAGTTTAGTGGAATTTCACATCAGCTTCAGCCATGAGGTTGCTACAGAAATGTAAAGTTCCTTAGTGATGTTGATGCTTTGTGCACCTTTTCTAACAAATTTGCCCTCAATTTTTAAACATTTAATCCTTTGGATGTGAATGGTGAGAAGGGTTATAGATGATTTGAGTAATGACTCAACTACTGTTACAGCCTTTAGCTGAACTATCAATGATTTGTCTAATATTTTTTTTCTTCTCGTTGTCCCTTCCTCAGAGGTTGATATCATAGGAAACATTCAAGCAACCTCCCCTTGCTTGCACCCTACTGATCTGATCAGAGTAGCCAAAGTGATCCGAGAGGATGGCTTCGACTCGGTCTTCTCTGTTGTGAGGAGGCATCAGTTTAGATGGAGTGAAATCAAAAAAGGAGGTAAGGGGGTGCCGGCGTTTCTGGCTGACATTGCAGCTTGCCTAGGCTACGAATGCAGTTCAGAGCCTTGGTCTAGTTAGTTGAGTGGTTGATAGCTAAGCAGAAGCATCTAAGAGTATTGGGTTTTCTTCCCTTAGAGATATTTGAGATGGTTGGGTGGCTCTCTGCTAGAGATGGTATGCCTGAAACCTATGCAAGAGCCTGGAATACTGTGGTGCTTCACTTAACGGGCGCTCCATTTGACGACGCAATCGCTAGACGTCGATGTTTTTGCGATCGCTAAAATGATGTTCCCTATGGGGGAATTTCGCTTTGCGATGATCGGTTCCCTGTTTCAGGAACTGATCATCGCAAAGCGATGATTTTCGGCCAGCTGATCGGCGGTTTCAAAATGGCAGCCGGGTAAACATTTCTTCCCTTAGAGATATTTGAGATGGTTAGGTGGCTCTCTGCTAGAGATTGTGTGTTTTCCAACTACAAATGCCAGATAAACCCAGCCAGAATGGCTGGTGGTCCTGCTGGTTGTGGGGGGTCTGGGAATTTAGTCCCAAATAAAATCCTTAGTCAGTGGCTAAAATGATGTTCCCTATGGGGGAATTTCGCTTTGCGATGATCGGTTCCCTGTTTCAGGAACTGATCATCGCAAAGCGATGATTTTCGGCCAGCTGATCGGCGGTTTCAAAATGGCAGCCGGGTAAACAACATGGCCACCTGCTCTTTTCTGGCGCGGATTCCTCGCTGCACAGGCAGCGAAAATGGCAGCGCTATGGAGGATCTTCGCTGGACGGTGAGTTTCAATCGGGTTTTAATGCGTTTCTATGGGCTTTTTAAAATCGCATTACGACGTTTTCGTTTTACAGCGATTTCGCTGGAACGAATTAACGTCGTAATGTGAGGCACCACTGTTGTTACCTTTCCCCCCAACTACAAATGCCAGATAAACCCAGCCAGAATGGCTGGTGGTCCTGCTGGTTGTGGAAGTCGGGGAATTTAGTCCCAAATAAAATAAAATAAAATCCTTAGTCAGTGGGGAGGAATTGAACTCGCAGCCTCTGGCTCTGCAGCCACGTTCTGCAGCTCACTGACCTATCCAGCCAGCTGGTCTTAAACTATCTATTATGTGTCATTATGTGTTGTTTGCATCCGACTTTAAAGTGACACAGGTTTCAAGGTTCACAAGCTATCTAAGGCGTGATTTTATGAGTGCCACCTCCCCTTTCCCTGTAAGTTTCCATACTGAGCAGGAATTTGAACTCAGGTCCGCTACAGCCCCCCTCTGTGACTCTGTCTTTCTGAAATGACCGAACCTTTCACTAGACCGTATTAACATTATTTCTGTGTCTTTCCCTCCTCCCTTTCTGTCTCCCTCTTTCAGTGTGTGAAGTGACTGTCCCTCAGAACCTGAATCCGGCCAAACGCCCCCGGCGGCAGGACTGGGATGGGGAGCTGTATGAAAACGGGTCATTTTATTTTGCCAAAAGGGCCTTGATTGAAAAGGGGTATTTACAGGTTGGTGTGGCTATGGAGCTGGGAGCAATCCCATTTTCTCTGCTTGACTGGAGTGGGAGATTTCTCTAGGAGATTAATTCATGTGGGGCCAGTCAGTTAATCCTGGATCCTTCTGTGGCCCTATGCAATCCAGAAGATAGTGGGTGGGTGGTTTTTTTTTTGGGGGGGTGTTTGGATTTTCTCCCCACACCTTTTCCTGCTTGGAATCCTCCTCCAAAACTGGCATTTCTCCCTGACTGTACCATTTGTTGAATTTACATATTTGGGTAACAATTTATGCTGTTTCAAGCAGGAAGAAAGTACAGTGGTGCCTCGCTTAATGAGCGCACCGTTTAACGACGAATCCGCATAGTGATGCGTTTTTTGCGATCGCTAATGCAATAGCATCGTGATGTTTTAGGTGGCAAATCATCGCATTGCGATTGGTAAGTGTTTCGCTTACCAATCTTCGCATTGCAATGTTTAGAAAACAGCTGATCGGCAGTTCCAAAATGGCTGCCGGGTTCAGAAAATAGCCACCCGCAGTGTTTTCGCGCCCTGCCCTCGCTTACCGAGGCAGCGAAAATGGCGGCCGGATGGGGAATCTTCGCTTACTGGTGAGTTTTCCCCCCATAGGAACGCATTAAACTCTGTTTAATGCGTTCCTATGGGGTTTTACGTTCCGTTTAGCGATGTTTCCGGATAGCGACGTTAATCCTGGAACGGATTACCGTCGCTATGCGGGGCACCACTGTACAAGGGTAGTAGAACTCATTCTCACCCACCCAGTGCAGACCCTTCACAGATTTTTATGCCCTGTTAATATATTTTTAAAAGTAGAGTTCATAATAATATGGCTAGCATATTATTCCAGATCTTAGTCCATTTTGTGTGGAAAGCAGAGCTTGGAAAGTTTCCATTGGGGGGGGAACTACAAATCCCAGAATCCGCCAGGTAGCACAGTGACTTCTGGGAGCTATGGTCCCCAAAACAGAACTAATAACAAGCTCTAGCTGGTGGCAACAAGCAGGAATTCTCAGGGTGTGTTCCTTGCTGCTTACAAATTCAAGCTGCCCATGAGTGGTGCCCCCCCATGCTAGTGGTATTGCCTTGGGGATTCTGGGAGATGTAGTCAAAAAAGGCAGCTTTTCAAAGCTCTGATGGAAGACCCAAGTCCATATTTCCCACTCCACTGTGAAACTTGCTGGATGACTTGTTCTCTTGCAGTGAATCTGGTTGCTGAGTGGTCTCAAGTCATATCTGACTTATAGCCATCTGTCAAACTCCTGACTTCCAAAACATCATGTTATTTCACACACTTAGTCTTGCAAACTAAATACCGTGGCTTCCATTATTAACTCAATCCATCTCATGTTTATTCTCCCTCATTTCTTAACTGCCATCCAGGATTCCCAGCATTATTGTATTATTGGGACCAGTTCTAGTTGGTGCAATGCGCCGCCCTCCTGCTCTTCGTTTCAGTGAAATGAACTAATGCTTGTTCTTAATTTTCTATAGGGTGGGAAGATGGCTTATTACGAAATGCGGGCTGAGCATAGCGTGGACATAGATGTTGACATTGATTGGCCTATTGCTGAGCAAAGAGTCCTGAGGTAAAAAAAACCAAAATGGCTTCTCTCCATTCATGATTGAGCTGTCTCCCTGCCTTACCATTACGAATCCTCAGTGTCCGCTTATGGAAAGGAGTGGTGCAATTTTCCTCCTGAACTGCCCCAACTACAAGCAGTAGAACAGGGGAGGTCTCTGCCGTTGGATATTCGTCTCGCGAATCGGTCTCTCAGCAGATAGAAAACTAGTATGCGGAGAGAAGGTGACTTCCGCCCCCCCCAACAAAAACATATGACAGTTGCACTTTAAAGCATCATCATCATCATCATCATCATCATCATCATCATGGTGATAGATCTACCCCCTAAACTACACATTTAACATTTTGCAACCCCTTTTTAATACTCCAAATCTGTTCTCTCCTGAGCTTCAAAGTGTGAGCTACCACAGCTGATAGTGGAGGGTCTGATCTGTTGAGCTAGTGGGCCAGAAGGGAAGGCCAGAGAGGGTTCCTTCATGTACCAACCTGCCGACTCTGAATCCTGAAAATGATGGCCAAAGCTGGGTTCGAGCCCACTGTTGTGCTTGTGCATGTGGGGCCGGGCGATCATCTGTACATTCTTGCCAGTGGAGGGGGGAGGATGGCATGGCTGCTGAACTGTGTCTGGAGTTGGGGGGCACTGACTCCTCCTGTATATACATATTTGTGTGTGTGTGTGTGTGTGTGTGTGTGTGTGTTTGTGTGTGTGTGTGTGTGTGTGTGTGTGTGTGTCTATTGTTCCTTCTCTTTGAATAAATACACTGGCTGTATTTTAAAGCCTCTGAGGAGGACTGGGGCAGAAATCCACAACAACAATATATCTCTCTCTCCACCCTGTCTTCCCCCCTTTCTCGCCTACTCTTAATCCCTCTTGAAGTATTCAGGTATTGGGTTTACTAAGCACACAGGGAGGCGAGCGGTTTGCCGCACCTTATTGTGTCCTCACTTTCCTCACACCATAAGCAACAGGTCTTAGAAGAAGCTTTTTGTGGCCAAGGGGGAGATTCTCCGTGTGAGCGAAAAACCCCTGGAAAAACAGGGTTCTTGAACTCAAGCCGAGCCTCCTCCAGGTTCACTGGCTGTTGTGGGCAGAAAGCAATGGCGGAAGGGGGTGGAGATGGGATTCCCCTCCTGTGTGTTGGGCAAATAGGAAACGGTAGCCACTGAACAGTGATTTGCCTGCACATTTTGCGTTCCTGTGGATTCTGGCCGCCTCTCCCAAGTCAGACCCAGTATTGGTGGTAGACAGATGGAAACTTAATGCGGGCTTTCTTTATTGATTGGTTTGCTTTATACTCCACCCTTGAGCCACAACCCCAGGGTGCCTGAGAAAGCCTGTACGGTGTAGTCAATAGAGCAATGGTTCCCAAACTCTTTGGACTCGTGGCTTGCTTGATTTACCGGCCACTGGATGCAGCTCTCCTTGCTTGGAGGGGCCATCAGGCATCTCTTTGCCAACAGAGGCAGGATTCTGACACACCCCGACCAACCCATCTTCTCCTCTCGAATATCCCCAAGGGCCTTCCAGGTCCTGACACGGGAAACTCATGAGGCCACGTGGCAAGCCCCTCCACCGGAGACCGTCAAGATCGGGAGAGGAGAGGCAGGCAGGCACAGTGATTCCACTTCTGGCTCCAGTTTGAGAGCGATGAGCAGCTTCTCTATAGCCTTCATGGCTCTACGTTCCCTCCCTTTCCTGCAGGACCCCTGACTGGGGTTGGTGGTGCCCCACGGCAGCATTGTGCACAGTTTGGAAATCCCTGGGATCGAAGGGTCAGGTTGGGATAGGAGACCTGGGTTCAAATTTCAACTAGCCTATGGCAGCTTGTTGGTGTGGTGATGGCAGCATTAGGAAACCTACTCGTCGATCATTTCAAATACCTTGAAAACCCTATTAGGGCTGCTGGAAGGGAGGAGTGCCTTGACCGCATGTCACTGCAAAGGGCGGCTTAAGAAAAGTTGAATTTAAAAATGAAACGAAATGGGGAACACTTGAAATGCAGTTTTAATATTCAGATACACTTAATTTTTTTATACATGATCTGCACAGCCAGCTAGAAGCTGAATTCCTAACGTGATTGTCGTTTGGATTATTGTGAGTGTTCGGTTTTGTTCACTAGCCCTGCCCTAGTTTACAAATCAATAAAAGGTATACGTATATCACATCTACTTTGTAGAGATATATACATATATCCCTAGAAATGGAAAGAACCACCTTGGATCCTTTTTAAGGAGAAAGGTAGGTTAAAAATAAAATAAAATAAAAGCATTCATTACAACTTTGAAACTTCCAACTTGCCTGTGATTTGCCTAATATCGTATTAGTGAGGAGATCCCTTCCAATGGTGACTCATGTGTCATTGCGGATATTAGATCGTCACAAATGTATTCATGCCTTAAATATAAGGTAAAGGTTCCCCTTGACATTTAGTCCAGTCATGTCCGACTCTAGGGCGTGGTGCTCATCCCCATCTCCAAGCCATAGAGCTAGTGTTTTGTCAGAAGACACTCTTCCGTGGTCACGTGGCTAGCATGACTAGACACGGAATGCCGTGACCTTCCCACCTATTTATCTACTCACATTTTGCATGCTTTCAAACTGCTAGGTTGGTAGGAGCTGGGACAAGTGACAGGGGCTCCCTCCGTCGCATGGATTCGATCTTATGACGGCAGGTCTTCTGACCTTGCAGCACAGAGGCTTATGCGGTTTAATCCGCAGCACCACCACATCCCATTAAATATAGCCAAAGACATTTCCCCATAAGCCTTGCACTGTAGCTAAAACCCAGGTACTACAGGTAACAGCCCTTTTCAGCAAAGTGTAAAGGCACATAGGCAGGCCTGCATTTTCTTTAAATTATAAACAAGACCCCATAAAACAATTAACGCAGGCAGGCTATCCTTTGAGAAAACAGGCCAAGGACAGCCCTTCCCGCTAAGGCGTATCTGTCAGGTTGGTGCAGACGGGCCAGATGCCAAAGGAATATTTCTACTTAGGTGCATCCTGTAAAGAATGCCTACTTGAAAGTAGTTTAATTCATTTATGATGCTTTTTATAACTGTTTATGAAAGTCCTCCTATGCATCTGAGAACTCACAGTTCTACACTGATATAACCTTGGAGGTGTGTTCGGTCGGGTGACTTCCCTGACAGCAGAATAAACACCTTCCTGACAGCTCAAATACCTCCCAGGCTAATGTTCTAAAGTAAAAGTCTCACCTCATGGTTGTTTTTTCTATGAAACTTTTTCTTTTAGAGGTGTTTCTAGAAAGTTTCCCACGGAAAGAATAAATTTTGGGAAGGTCTCTGCCTGTGGAGCCAGAGCTTTGGGAGTTAAATTTCCCCCCTGTTCCTCCTTGATGGGGTCTGGACTCAGAACGATGGAGTTGGAAGGGGCCTCTAAGGCCAGTGAGTCCAAAACCCTGCTCGAGGCACGAATTCAAATCAAAGTAGAGCTGACAGAGGGTTTGTCCAGCTTTTTTCTTGGATGCCTCCAACGTTGGAGCGCTCACCACCTCCTAGAATCATTGATTTAGCCGCCTAGAGTGGTCCTCACCGACCAGATAGGCGGGGTATAAATTAAATAAATAAATAA